CCTTACGTTAACTATCAATTGAATTCTGAAATGCACGAAAATGGCTAATTCTACCAACCGAGAAGCCGAGAGAACCTTAACATTGAAGCTTGTCGACTCTGTTTGATCCTTGTAACATACATGATTACTTGAATGTGTCAAAATATACCATGTAAAACAACGGCTCAGTCTATTTCAATTTTGAGTTGGGTACTGTTATTTTAGGATTTTGAAAATGTCTTTATTGCTTGTGGAGTGTAAGCAGGACTTTAGTTTCAAGAAGGAATAATAACTGGAAAATGCTAAAACTGCATCGGTTTTTGAGAAAATTGGAGATTTCTTTATCTAGTTCCCAATACTAAGTGCTGGTTTAGAAAACCTGAGTGAGGTTCAAGCTTAGTTTGATTGATATAGCATGATTTTACATGAACTAGAGACATGGGCAACTTTCTCATAATGAGCTTCTCCATTTTCGAGCATTTAGTTTAAAATTTGAATGTGAAGGGCTTGATTGACGTAGCTTTTTGTAGTTGAAAGTCCGTTATGAAGATGGACTTTTCAAATATGACTTTTATGAAGGACTTTATTTATTTGATGGGTTTTGATAGTTTGATTTGAGGGTTGATATGATATGCCAATGCTTTGATGAACCTTACGTTAACTATCAATTGAATTCTGAAATGCACGAAAATGGCTAATTCTACCAACCGAGAAGCCGAGAGAACCTTAACATTGAAGCTTGTCGACTCTGTTTGATCCTTGTAACATACATGATTACTTGAATGTGTCAAAATATACCATGTAAAACAACGGCTCAGTCTATTTCAATTTTGAGTTGGGTACTGTTATTTTAGGATTTTGAAAATGTCTTTATTGCTTGTGGAGTGTAAGCAGGACTTTAGTTTCAAGAAGGAATAATAACTGGAAAATGCTAAAACTGCATCGGTTTTTGAGAAAATTGGAGATTTCTTTATCTAGTTCCCAATACTAAGTGCTGGTTTAGAAAACCTGAGTGAGGTTCAAGCTTAGTTTGATTGATATAGCATGATTTTACATGAACTAGAGACATGGGCAACTTTCTCATAATGAGCTTCTCCATTTTCGAGCATTTAGTTTAAAATTTGAATGTGAAGGGCTTGATTGACGTAGCTTTTTGTAGTTGAAAGTCCGTTATGAAGATGGACTTTTCAAATATGACTTTTATGAAGGACTTTATTTATTTGATGGGTTTTGATAGTTTGATTTGAGGGTTGATATGATATGCCAATGCTTTGATGAACCTTACGTTAACTATCAATTGAATTCTGAAATGCACGAAAATGGCTAATTCTACCAACCGAGAAGCCGAGAGAACCTTAACATTGAAGCTTGTCGACTCTGTTTGATCCTTGTAACATACATGATTACTTGAATGTGTCAAAATATACCATGTAAAACAACGGCTCAGTCTATTTCAATTTTGAGTTGGGTACTGTTATTTTAGGATTTTGAAAATGTCTTTATTGCTTGTGGAGTGTAAGCAGGACTTTAGTTTCAAGAAGGAATAATAACTGGAAAATGCTAAAACTGCATCGGTTTTTGAGAAAATTGGAGATTTCTTTACCTAGTTCCCAATACTAAGTGCTGGTTTAGAAAACCCGAGTGAGGTTCAAGCTTAGTTTGATTGATATAGCATGATTTTACATGAACTAGAGACATGGGCAACTTTCTCATAATGAGCTTCTCCACTCTCAAACCCTAACTCAGGAGATGGAAGAAGAAATGAGAGAAAAGAGGAATCGGAGAAAAGAGGAGTCCGAGAAATGACTCTCTCTCCCTCGACACGTATATCAGAAAAAAGAAAGGGTGGGAGGTGTAACTTACTCTCCACCTTGAGAGTATACAACAGGACAAAGAGAGAGTGGTGGTAGTTGGCAAGATGGTAAAAACCAAAGTGGCCCTTGATTCAAATATCTACCCGCAGTCTCTCGCGTTTTGTATCACCATGCAGATTTGGAGACCTGAACACCAAATTAAATTAGACTACTCACAACCAATTAGACAATTAAATAAATCACATTACCATTCTCACATGGAGTCTGCCGACGCAGAGGGTCTGTCTCCCTCTCCCAAAACAGAACAGAAGCTATCCCTACAAATTGAGAGTGTTGCAAAACATATTCAGTTGTCTCACGCAAGGACTAGGGATGGGTTTAACTCTACCAATACTGTTGTACTAATACCAACATGAGGTTCAAATTAACCTGTCCTTAAAGCCTCTATTGCTGTTATGTATGTTTCTAGGGATGCTATGTATTGTTCTTTTGGAGCATTGGAACAATGTGATAATTCTGCTGGACACTGGTGTAGGAGAGAGTCTCCCTACGTAGCTCCATTCCAAGTACTTTGTAGTTATCTTTGTTGGTACAACTCGTGAGCATCATCATGAAAAAAAAAAAAAAAAAAGAAGCCGCAGTTAGTTAACTAACTAGCACGCGTCATTACTAACTAATAAATTAGCCAAAAAATTAGAGGGAAAAAAAAAAACTCGGTCATAACTATTTTAATATCTAACACTGGCATCAAATTAATTCATGCATTTGAGATGCTCTAATCAAATATCATTTTTAACTTCAGAGAAGACACATGCAACTTATTAGGGAAATTCTAATATACACCCTTTTAAAAAGGATAAATTATATGTACTTTTAATTATATATATATTTTTTTTTAAATTATGACCAAATTTTTTTTTAGTTATGACTTATAAATTATTTAGTTATACCTCATATTATATTTAGTTATGATATTTATTTTTTTAATTATGATTCAAAAAAATTAAAATTATATCACCTTTTTTTAATTATAAAATATATAGAGTGCACACATAATGTTTCCCAACTTATTATTGCGTGCATTTATTAATTAATTCAAAAATGATTTTTCTCCTGATTTCCACCCTCCCCCAAACAGCCCGAAACAGATAGAAGAAAAAGAGAAAGAGAAAGAGAGAAAGAGAAGAGAGAATAGAGAGAGAGAGAGGGCCCCTCCTCCGCCTCCGCCGCCGCCGATCAATGGCAGATCGACCGGTCGATCGTCGCAGCAGCTCGTCTCTTTCGATCTCTCTGTCTCTCTCTCTCTGCTACTTCTTCTTCCTTCTTCTTCTTCTTTTCTGATTGAAAAAAAAAAAATTCAAAACGACGAAACGATGTCGTTTTTGGATTCGAGGGGATTCAGAGATCTCTCTTTCGAGCTACGTAGCACAACTGTTAATTAATTATGGTCCGTTTGTTTTCAGACGTAGAATGGAGGGGATTAATAGTGAGGGAATTAAGTAAATTGTATTTGTTTTGATAATAGTTGTTAATGTAAGAATTGTTAAATTATTTTTACATAAAATAAAAAAAAAATACAAAAAATTAAACATTAATGTTCAAAAAAAAATTCCCAATATGTAAAAAATAAAAAAATAATAAAAAAATTTCTAATATTCTCACTATTTTTCTAATACCACCTCCACCTCCACCTCCACCTCCACCTCCACCTCCTTCATCTCAATCCCCCTTCCAATCTCCATCTTAATCCCCTCCTCCATCCTAATCCATTTCCTAACTCTATAAACAAACACAACACTAAGCCTCACCTCCATCTTAATTTCATTCCATTCATTACACCCTAAACACAAACGAGGCCATGTGTATTGACAAGAGTGATATTTAGTTAAAAAAAACATTAACTTCGCAAGATAGAGTACACCAATGTAATAAGTAATGATTAATTGTTTAAATTAATGGTAGATCGAGAAATAAAATGACACAAATATAATAATTTGAGGAATAAATTGAATTTTTCCACCCCTCCAATAACATATAAACAAGAGGCAAGAGAGTAACCAAACAACAGCTACAGTAATATTACAAACATTAACAAATATATTAATTAACATCCATCTATCTATACTATGGTGGTCCATTTGGAAATAAATTATTTTAATTGATTATGTAATTTCTTGAGAAAAGACACCAAAAAAAGTAAAGAGTGATGTAACAGTGTTTTATTTTATTGATTATTTTAACCTAAGATGAGTTATTTTAACTCATCCCAATTTTAACCCATCCCAATATATAAAGGGAATGCCAAATGTAACACTAACTAGTTTGTCCAAAATACTCCAATATAACTGACATGTTTTTTTGTAATTTAAGATCAAAGTCAAATTTAAATCAAAATTCATAGCTTATTATAGGTTTAATAGCATACTTATCAAGTGTGCATACCCCATTAGTATTAACAAATATAAGGTTTATATGTGAGTTTCACTACTTGACAGCCTATACCTAGTTAACAAGTTTGTTGAAATATTTACTTGTGTTTTTTAACACTATTAAACAACTATTGACTAAAAATAAAAATAAAAATAAAATCCCATTTTGTTTTTTGTTTTTTTTTTTTTTAGGGGGGTGTTGGTTAGGAAGCAACCATTTAATCTGATTGGATAAATTATGTACCAAACTTGTAATATAAATGATTAATAATTTATTCATCAAATTTATTCAATTTAAATTCGTTTGAATGAGTTTCAAATCTTCAAAATGGGAAATTCTGACTCATTCGAATAAATTTAAATAAAATAAATTTAATAGAGGTATCAGTGCTAAATATAAATTGTGGAATAAGAGAATCAAAGTGCAAGCAAACAACAATGATTCATCCCACTAAAAAATCATCACTAATAGCACTAACGTATTAAAAAAGTAAAAAAAAAATAAAAAAAAAATACAACTCCAAGACTAAAACATCACATCATTAATAATGAGACCCACTGCCACCTAATTAGTGGGAGTGCTCCCAAGCATTTTTCGCAAGCAAATGAAGACCACACAAGTCCATTGTAGTCCAAGTGGAGCACCATATATCTCACAACCCATGAGAATCAAGCTAGCCCATCACCATCTTCCACGTGTCAATTACCCATTTAAACTCACAGATTTCATTGGATGAGATCATATCATCACCTCACCAGCATTCTTATAAAATTCAATCCCTTCCCACCCCACCCATCTCCTAAATTGCAACCTTCACAGAGCTCCAACAATGGCAGCAGAGATGGCCTTAGTAAAACCCATCTCAATCTCCAAATTCAATCTAACAAGAACCCCCACCACCACCACCAAATTCTCCACCACCACCACCGCCATGTCCGCCACCACCACCACCACCACGACGGGGCCAATCAGGGCAAAGGCGGCGAAGAAGGGGATAAAGGAGAGTCTACTGACGCCGAGGTTTTACACCACGGATTTTGATGAAATGGAGATGCTGTTTAACACGGAGATTAATAAGAAGCTGAATCAGGAGGAGTTTGAAGCTTTGTTGCAGGAATTCAAGACGGATTACAATCAGACGCATTTTATGAGGAACAAGGAGTTCAAGGAGGCTGCTGATCAGATGCAGGGCGGAGCTCCTGCAGGAACTGGCGGCAATGGCCGCAGTGGGCGGCGGAGACGGCGAGGGCGAGTAGGCGGGTTCTGCCGTGGACGACGAGGTTGGTCACGAGAAATTGCTCGGCGTGGAAAGGAAGGGAAGGTATTTACTCCACTTTTGAAAACTTGATCTGGATCGACAAAGAGCTTGTGATCAGGGTGGAAAATAAGTGAAAGAAGCTCTCCAAGTGTAGATAGATCACCAGCTACAAGCTCACTTCTTTTTTTTTTTAATTTGTTTTGGGAGAGCCCAGTCCTACAACATGGCAGAGAGACCCAACATACACACCCCGGAGAGAGAGAGAGACCATGCCCGAGGGAGGGGCTACGGAAGTGACTGAGATGGAGAAAGCTCCTCATTCTATGCCATGGTGGTCAATGCCAGAGAGCTCCGGCCTGCTTGAGGAGTGGGACAAGAGAGCCGTTGATGTGAGAGGCCATGACTCTGTCTATAGCTCCAACGAGTTTGCCACCGATGAAGACGACAGGGACGGCGGAGGAGGTTTCACGCTGGCCGGGAAGGACGAAGCAAGCGGCGAAGAGCTCGCCAGAGGAGGGATCTTCAAGGCGGATCTCGCAGCGATCGTTGCTGATCTCTGTGATGCGACTAGGGCCATTCGATGTGAGTTTCGAGCTAGAAGAGCCATGGAGGTTGGTTGAACTTGCAGAGAGAGAGAGAGGGAGTGAAGGCATGTGTAGAGGTCCGGCGGGCGGCCAAGGCGAGATTGCCACCCGCCGGTGAAGCAGAATGACTAGGTTGTTAACCTAGCTCTGATACCATGTAAGATAAATTGATAAAGAGAGAGAGAGCAAAATGAATAACTCTATATTTCTGTGTATTATTACAAGAAGATGAACACTCTCTTTATAGAGAGGAGATGACAGCATAGGATGCTAAGTTAGGCACCGAAAGCAAGAAACATTACATAATATATAATATAAATGACAATTAGCTATGCTTTACTTTACAGCTTTTCTGTACACTAATAATACTAACATCTTTGATGAATTTTTAAAAATTTTTAGGATGGTTGGTGGTGGCGGGGATGATACACCGGCATGGCAATGGTAGTGGTAGTGGTGGTGGTGGTGATAGTTGTTTGGTTGATAGAGGAGAGAGGGTGTTTTGGGTGAAAGAGGAGAAGAGAATGGGAGAATTTGGATCTATAATTTGAAATTTGAGGTCAAAATATAAATTTTTTATTTTTAAATGTGACGGTAGGGACAAATGGATCACAATTTAAATAGGTAAGGGGGTAAATTGACAATATTAAAAGTTTAAGTGTGAAATTAATTAGGCGGGTATAGTTTGGGGAAAATCAAATTTCTTCTTTATAACTTTAAACTTTTAAGTGAGTAATTCTAAATAATATATTTTGAGGTATAATAACATATGGACTTTGGAGTTTTTCCTTGATGAACTAGGCCGATGTTGTTTGTGTTCTCTTTAAATAAATCTCATAAAAGGTACTCCTCAATAATTGGTACAAATTAGAAGTGTTTTGCTTAAATACACTAAAAAATTACGCACACCACTATCCGTCTCCTCCTATTTTTTATCAAATTTATTTTGTAGAATATTGAATTTTTTTTTTTTGTTATACCAACATACACATTTAGCATAAATATTTTAAAACTGTATAAGTTTATTTGTTCACTTGTCAACAGACTGTAAGTTATGAATAAATCACTAAACTCATTTTTATTTTGAAAAGTTTGTTAAAAATTGTTTTTTTTTTTTGCCTTTTTTTATTTTTGTTCTTTTGTATGTAAAAAATGTGAGAGATGGTGTGACCCAAAATAGGTTAAAATTTAAAAGCTAGCTTTTAGCTAGCTTCCCAAATTACCCAAAAAACCAAGAAAAAATTTCGTCTAATTTGTTTGTCTAGGAACAACTTTCATGAATGAGATTGTTTTGTTATTTTGTTTTTGTAAACTTTAATTTGAGATTGTCTTTTTTCAAGCAATTTTTTTGCCTTTTTGTAGAAGTTAGAAATTTAATAAATGTTTTTGAAAAGTTATTAAAAATATATTTTAATATTATTATTTTTTTGTGTGTAAAAGTTAATGTCACATTTTATTTTTATTTTAAACTATATGACAATTGAGTTTTTTTTTTTTTACACCCAAAATTTGACTTGTTTAGAGTATCTCCAAGTGTGTAATTTTTTTCCCATCAAATTTGTTTAATAGTTTAAATTAAAATTTTGATTTGATATAGCTCACTTGGATGATGAGAATCAAATTTTTTATTAATTTTTTTTTAAAAAAAAAAATACCTAACCTATATCAAAAATATTTTTTAATCAATTCACATGAAAAAAATTAGTCACTTATTCTTTATCTTTTAACAAATTCATCAAATTTAAGTGGAAAAAAAAAAAAAGTTGTTAAAAATTTGATGAAATTTTTTATTTATTTTCATCAGATAATTTAATTAATTTTCCAAAAACAAAAGTAGACCGATCAAAGATCATGTCAATTCATTGAGCGAAGAATTTTAGATTTTGTTAAGCAGAAAGCATATACAACAAACATTAAAAAGCAAAAGCTCTACAAACTCCACTTTATCAAACAAAATTCCAATTATTTCCATGCCTTAACTGGGATCAGATTCTGTACCAACACCTAAGTCAAAGCAAGACAGGCCTTGAACAATAGTTTTTGAAAAACAGTAATATGTACAAGCAAATGAAACAGGATTGAAACTAAAATCAGAGGAATCCCCAAAGGATTTACTACTAGCCATTGGATGGTAATGTATATACTCAATTGCAAGAAAACAAAACAGGAATCAATCTTATCAACTTCTTTATTTGGAATCGCTAGCTTGAAATCCTCTTCTAGAGTCATTACAATCTTTACAGTATGTGAACTATTCAATTTCAAATCCTTCTAAAAATGAACATCAGGAGTCACCTGTAGATAAAGGCAAAAGGAATCCCAACTTATGAGAATCTCATGCTAGACATAATTATGCAATGATGAAAAGAATTGCATTTGAAATTTTAGGTTCAATCAAACCAAGAAGAAATCCGTATGATATTATTGGTTTAAGAAAAAAACTAAATTCTAAAAATCTGAGATCAAAAATAATGTTATCAATATACTAGGCATCTTTATAGTTCCTCTTGTGTGTGTGTATATATATACGCTGATTCTAAGAGCCTTGGCTTTGTGCAGAATACGTTTCTTTTCGGAGCGTTTGACTTCAGTTCAGGAGCAATTCAGACCGAACCACTCCAATCGTAATTGCACTTCAATTTAGCAAGAAGTTCAAACTCTTTCACAGAAGCAACCACAATCGTCTGTTTGGAAAGGACAGACTAACAAATTGCAGTCAAGGTTTCCTCAGCAGCATTGCGTTTGTTCTACTTAATCACCAATGCCTTTTCTTTTGCTATCAAAGTAGCCTGAACGTTCCTCAGACTAGCTCGAACATTGAGCAAGTTTCTCTCAATTTCATTGGCTTCTTTCTAAATCTGCCATAGTTGTTTGTTCGCAGTGAAAAAGCACTAAATCATTCAGCTTCGAATGAGCAAGTTTCTCTCAATTTCATTGACTTCTTTTTGAATCTGCCGCAGTTGTTTGTTTGTAGTGAAAAAGTGTTGAATCAGCTTCAGCTTCGGATGATTGTTCTTGATAGCCATTATCAATAGATCTACAAAATGAATAAGGTTTGGCATGAATTTTCAAATTCTACAGGAAAAAATAGAAGAGAGAGAGAAAAAAAAATAGTAAGAGAAGAAATGTGACATAGAAATTTGGATTTGAGTGATCGTTGTCCCAAATAGATCTGCAAAATGAATAAGGTTTAGAGTGAATTTTCAAATTCTACAGAAAAAAACATAGAAGAGAAAGAAGAAACATGACCTAGAAAAGAATTGAGTGAGAGCGTATTTGACAACTAATTAATGATGTAATTATTTGTATTAGAGGGCCATACACACAATGCGTGCGCAATTCAAAAAAACGAAACAGTATAAGAATAATGATAAAGAAAAATCCACATATAGTATTTGTTACTCAAGTAATAAGGGTTTGTTTTGCCAAATTTATAATCTTGGTTTCAAGTCTTGTCTTTTTTTTTTTACACATAAACATCAACTACAAGACTATTTTGGAAAAACCTAAAATATAAGACACGAATGTGTCAACACCACCATTAGCCTTTACATATTAGAATAGATAGATAGGAGCAGTGAGTGAGAGTGCTACAACATAGCACCGTCAATGCTCACAAAGTGTTTGATGAAATGGGTTTGAGAAATAATTGCGAGTTTTAAAAAAGATGGCATTATAGGGTTTGATGCCTAGGCCCGGCCCTAGGGGAAGTCAAGAATGGCTTTGTGCCATGGGCCCCCAAAACATAGAGGCCCCAAATTTCTGAGTCTATTCCTGTATATATATATATAAGGTCCACCAAAAATCAATTGAATTCATTAGTAGTCCTAGAGAACAAAGAAACAAGGGCGAACGATATGCAATCAACCGGGAATAGAGGAACAAAATGTTGTGTTTCCTCACTTCCACCTTTAAACTTTGATCACTGATTGTCTAAACACATTGCTCAAAGTTGGTTTGTTATTTGATGAGCCAAATGTTGAAGGTAGAATGTGGAGGATAATGTTTTTCTTTTTTTAACTTGGTGAGGAAGAAAAATGATAAATGGGAAAAAATCTATTTTCAAAAAAGATGAACAATAATGAGGTAAAGATAAAAGAGATAAAATAAATATAAAGAAATAAGTTAGGTTCTCGTATAAAAATCTCATCACCAAACTATTAACAATACCTCTCAGTAATTTATTATCTAAAAAATATGAGATTTCACATGATACTTGCCCTAATGGACTTTCAAGATAGTATAAAGTTTGAGTTGGAAGTAAAGAGAGAGAGTTTAAATTGAAAATAGTAAGTTCACAAAAAGGTAGTGTTTGAGTTGGAAGTAAGGAGTACAAAGGTAGTGTTTGAGTTGGAAGTAAGGAGTACAAAAGAAAAACAATTTAATAGAATTCATAAGTGTACCATTGCTTGGTTAGTTTGGCCAAATGACACATAGCATATTTATAGGCCTTCAAATCTTTAATTAATGGTCAAGATATACAATGTCAACAAATTAATGGTGTGAAAACTATCTAGATTC